CGTTGATATAAGTTATTTACAGAATATCCAAGAGCGCACTAAAACAACCAAAAGGGCACTTGTCTACTCGGGAGCGAGATAAATAGAAATTCTAGAAGCATTCCAAAAAGAACAGAGTCAGAAATTCTAGGAACAAGCATCTAACGTGTTTTATTTCAGTCATAAATTGTAACATTTAAGAATTCCGGTATCCGAAACCTTTGTAATTACATTACAATAGACATTTTCAATTATCAAATTTTATTACAAGATTTTCCATCTGAGAATTAATGATTACGTGCAGGTGTTTGGAAGTTCTTTCTAAATGCTTTTGTATGTAAATAATTTTACAGAAATATGAATAAAATATCAGCGTTTATGATTGTTGACTGTAAGATACTACGTATGCTTACAAAAGTTTATAAAATTCAAATTTTAAAGAATGAAAAAATAAAAGCTTTTTTTTATAAACATTCGATCAAACTGTTATATGTTGCATAGATAGGTTCTATTTTCTCACAAATAAAAATAACTGCAGCTTTCTAAACCGACTTAGAGACATAATATGGCCTATAGTTTACAATGCAATCGGCTTGGGAGGAGGTGGGTTGCTCTTCTAAATCTAGGTCAATACACTTTTTTGTATCGATGTTTGATTTTGTTTATATGTTATTTACACTATCATAAAAACAGTGCACTATAATTAGCGATTATTACCGTATTATATTAACGATTATACATGTATTTTTTACGTATTACGGAAGTACTTTGTTTTTTTAAAAAGACTTATGGCTGGATGGTTCTGAAAAAATGCTTATAAACGTTAAACAGGATGAATATACATATACATTTACTAAACTCGGGTAAAAGTAAATGAGAATAATGATTGTCTGTATACGTTTGTAGCTGACAAAGTATCTCCCAGAAGATGTGGCTTTTTGCATAAAAATTTCCACCCCACAAACCTAGTCGATGCTTATTCGTTTAGTCATTTAGCTATAATATACCAATTACAGCTCAACAGGCACGTGAACGAAAGTTTGATCGTCCAATAAACAAAACAAGGGTCTACCATAGACATTACATGGAAAGGAAGAGTTTCGTACAAACTGTAATCAAGTCTGTAGCAATGTAAACTCGGATTCTCTGTCTCGTGTGTCTGTTGACTGTCTGAACCAATAAATGTTTTGTCACCACCCCCGAGCCATAAATATTTCGGGAAAGACCGTCCCCCCATTGTAAGGCAATTATAGGTAAGGAGTAAGATTATTGATTGATAAAATCGATAGTCAACTTCTTCTAAACGGCAGTTTGATAATTGTTGTCTCTGTTAGTATTAGATCAACGAATCTGCCACCTTTAAAAACAGTGGAGCTAAAATTCCTGCTAAATTCCATCCCTCTCGGGCTACGATGTTTGAAATATGTAAACAATCGCTATAAAATCACTTGTTTTAATTTTTTTAGCTCTAATTAGCTAATTTATTGTTCTCAGACGGAATTTAGGCGAGTAAACATTATTTTAGAACTGTCAAGTTATAAATATTCCAGGAAAGTAATCTTCCTCTTTGCTGTTATGTAATACGAGAAAATAAATAAATAATCGCATGCAAATTTGCGTAGTATAGTCGAGAATTGTGAAAATCGTCGAAATAATATAAAATTAATGTTTATTATACATTATCTGCAAAAAAACTTGTCCTAACTTTCACCCTAATATGATTCATCCTCTCCCCTCCCAGGAGAGTAATTAGTGAAGTAGTGTAATAATAGCCATAACTTCTCACTTGCTCTAGCTAGAAGGCTGCTGTTTATTTTGTTTTCTCTATGTGACTAATCTGTTGACTAATAAATCTATGAAAATTTAGAGATTTTCTATAAATAAATTAGTTTTTTTGGGTTTTTTTTTCGTAAATTTGAAATTTTATTATAATTTTAAATTCGCGATAAACTTAAAACTAAACAAAAGTAAACTGTAATATGACTTTGCTTGAAAACGAAAAACAGATTGAATGTAGCGCGAATTTGAAGCGAGATATTACAATTGAAACGATAGTTGCATCTGTAAAAGTGGTTTTGATAAAAGAATGCAGAGTTTTTATTTTGTATATTTTTCATTTGCTTATTATCAGAGAAAAATTTTAACTATCTTACATTGCTTGAGCCACACTACCCCTGGGAGTTGGTGATGAGAGAAATAGTAAATTGTAAACAAGGAATTTCACACCTCAAGGCTACAGAGGAGTGCAATTTGTTTTGTACAGAATAAAATATGTTACTTTACATTATAAACTCTGCAAATAAAACCGATCATTTTATTTTTATTTAACGCTTTTTTCGAATATGAAACATGTAAATATTATTGTAAATTTGTGTTGTATAGCTATAATTAGATTAAATGTGTTTAGATAAAAATAAAATAAATTACTAACTGCAACAAAATATTCCACAATCTGTATAGAAGAATCGATATAGAAAGGGGAAAAAATGAGGCTAGATGAGCGTGCTATTTCATGTTTTCGTCTACGACTTGATAATTGCAAGCAGCAGGTGTTCCAAAGTTCTTTTATTATAAAAGCTTTTATATGTATATTTTTATACGCATACAAAAAAATTTCTTATATTACAATATTACTTACGTATTCTATAATAGTTTGTAGTTTTATTATATGCATCTAAATAGCTTTACAATAAAAAGCTCCCACAAAAATTTAAAATAATTTATAATAAACCGTNAGTTTGTAGTTTTATATGCACCTAAATAGCTTTACAATAAAAAACTCCCACAAAAATTTAAAATAATTTATAATACACCGTTTTATAGAATACATTTCTTGAAAATTTTTGTGTAAAACTTTATTTCCTTTATTACGTATTATTTATAAATAAATTATCTTTCATTTAACACAAACCTGCAACGAGATAGGACACGCTGCAGAATAGTATATACCAGTGTTTCGCAGCTGCAAATCCTTTCACTCGTCTTGTCATAGCTGCAGCAATGCAGCAAGCACCGTCTGTAGAAACACCAACACAGTCCTTCCATTTTAATTCATTTTGGAGCACATATTCGTTAGTCACACGAAGTATTTCATCAACGGTGGCTCGCTCCGGAAGTTGTTTGCAAAAAAAGAAATTAGTTTCTATTACATTACCATCGATGTACCGAATAAGCAAGTTGTGCGTGGCCGCTAATCGGTGGACTGGTCGATGTGAAGTGAGAACTTTCGACTGCTGTTGAGTTTCTCCTTCGTAATGTCTTCAATATCACTGGACATCTCAGTAACTCGGCGAGTGATTGTGTCAACAGAAAAGGGGATTTTGATATTTCACTAGCAGCTTCTGAACCCAGGACTATTTTCACTATCTCATTACAAGCAGGCATTAAATTCAGCTATTTTATGTGGTTTTTTGGCCTTTACGATAAGTTCGACTTCGACTACGGTTCCTGTACTTCGTCCGAAACACATACTATTGTAGTCATGAATGCTGCTTGTTTATTATTATTATTATTTTTTCGTTTTGTTCCAACAACCGACGAAAATAATTGACATCTTTGTTTGACAGAGAAGAATGTTTCGTTGACAAATATCGTTTCAATTTACTGGGAACCATAGAAGCATTAGTAAGTTTTTCACCATAAACAATACACTCGGGGATTGGGCATGTTTTATCACTACACTAAAAAAAACCATAAGGTAAATAATTATCACTATACTGCCGGTGCACTAATATTTGTTTTTTGGGGGGAGCTCAATGCTTTCACTACTTGTGCTTGTACTGGTCGACGGAACACTCCGTAAACGGAATTTGTCATATTGAAAAAATTAAATAGTCTAATAATAATAGAAAGAAAATGAGACTGACTAGCAATCACAATTTTCGGACTACTTTACAGCACAGCTGAGATAGAACTGAGATATTTGCAAGAAGCGGGACCTATATTCTTCAAAGCGAAGTCTAACAATGGATCGGTGAATCGGTATAGGAAGAAAGTAATAAAGTTGAGGAAGCACTAACAAACAGGGACAAGTACCAAAATAACGTAATAAAGGGTAGGGCTAGTCCAGTAGTTTTGGGAAAAGCACGTACACAGAACAATTGGCAAGGGTAACAAAACGCCTGTGAGTAAATTTATTTTATACAGTACAGTATTCAATTTCTTAGAATACATAAAAATGTGTGGCTTGTAATAAAGAATAAACAATCATCTTATTTCATTAGTGCTGCGTTAGAGAATGAAATACAGCAACTGTAATAAAAATATATAAATAAAACTTGACAATTAATAGATATCTAAAAGTTCATGTCGCACCTTTCACCTTGTGATCGCACACCGGTTGAGGAACACTGGTATATACAACTAGTTGACCTTTTAACAACAGCTGTTGGTGGATGTTCGTGGATCACTCCCAACAATGCCTGACGGGAAGACCGTTTTCTAGACGTGTCTCTTAGTTACAGTAAATACTCTATTACGAAATTTTCGGTCATTTGTAATGTTTCTATAGGAGGGGACCAAAAAATGATCAAAAATAACAACTTCCATTTGGATGTAAAATTACAAAATTTGCTGAGGTCATAGAAAACATCCAATAGAATACAAAATAAGCTTTTCCCGAGTTATATCGGACATAGAACGTTTAAAAACGATTTTTTAAATAGTTGTCCGAGTTAACTTGGACGAAGGACATAAAAGGGTACAGGTAAAAAATAAAACTGTTTTTTTTTAATAACATCTCTATTTGCTAAAATGTAAATAACATCAGTATAGTGAGTCCTATTAACATAGTCCAATGTAGGCAATGATGATATAATAAAGAATTTAATAAGGACATGGAGACAAAAGAATTGTACTACTTATTTATGTAGGGACCCACCAGTGGCCAAGTGGTCTTTGTTCCCCGAACAGAGTTCAGTCGTGGGTTCGAACTGGCCACGTGGAGTTTACTGGGTTTTCTCCACGTCTGTAATGCCCGACTAGGGGCCAATTTCTCTTAAAAAGACCTCCCGGAAGGCATCCCCTAGGCAGAAGTGTTCGCCAAAGTGTTGCGTTGCCATAACTTAAAACAAACAAACAAACTTATTTATGCTATTTCTATAACATGCTATACATAGTGGTGATGATAATACATCATAAGGTGAATTTGATGGATCTTCAATTGCACCATCGGCTAGTTATTTTAAAAAGCAAATAACTTATTAACGTTTTTAAACATTACTAAAAGGTCATTTTACTTGATATTGTTGCAACTTTTGAATTATTATTTATGTTGGCAGTAGTTTTCCTTTTTCTTGGAGACTGCAGTAATTTAGGAACTTTTAAATGGCAAATATGATGGGCAATTGGGAAAACTCGAACGATAAGCATCTCGTGTTAGTTGCCATTTTCCACGGGGAATCTCAACTGTTTTACCCTCAATTATATGAACTTAATTCTTAATAAGAAATCTTTAATCAAAATGCAAATCACATACAATTTTCTTGTGAGTTGTCAATCTTTTCAAGGAATTAATAGTTTTCACTTATCCAACTGGTTCAGAGGTAGTGTAAAAAATTCCAGTTGGAATGTCAGTGGAACCAAATGCCATTGTTAAACTTTTAGGCTATGTATTTGTCATTTATCCTTTATGCAGCATAGCCTACATGGCTCTTGTGCCAAGTAATACAAACAAACCATCTAAAAACTGTTTGTAGTAACTATTCATAATTATGGATTTTTAAAAGTTTTAGAGGAATACAAAGATTAGCACTCTACATCAGCTTTTCAATTACTATTTTCATTAATAAACAATTTCCCAGTCCTCATACACTTGCATGTCATGAACATCTGCACATAAGTTCTGTGTATATGTATTTGTTTCTTTATTCTTTGATTTGTTTTGGTTGTCATGTAAAGTAATAAGTTGTTCTATGAAAAATAACTCACTCATATTTTAAAGAGAGAAATTTAATGAGAGTGGTTAGGTCTAAGATGAATCAGAAATAAATTCTGCATTTTATGAAATACTTAAAATATTTACAAGATCCTCCACAAAAAAAAAACTTACAGCACAGCACATTCTCATGGCCAAAATCTGAATTATAAATTATACATGTCATTTTTAAATATTTAATTCAAAGTAAAAAAAATTAACATACTTTGAAAATAAATTAAATCCTATGACAATAAATTCTTTAAGTAGAAAAATGATCATTTCTCTTTGGCACTATCAATGATAACATTCCAATCATCGATAATTTTTATTTCGTTTCGCGTGTGCCAGCGCAGACCGTCTCCATCTGGTTTGTGTCGGGATGGAAATAACACATGTCGTAAATCCCTAAAAAATAAAATGTTATTTTACAACAAAATTATTTCTGTGAAAGCATTTTTATTTTAATTTTATTTACCTCCCATTTGTCAGTCCTAAAAATATAATCCAGTTTTTCCTTGGTCCAAAATTGTAAGGATTTTTATATGTCTGAAAAATTATGTGTGTATGAAAACTAATAGAAATTATTTCATATATATACACTTTATTATCTTAAAATTAAAATTTATACTTTTGTGTTCACAATCAACATCAAAGAATGATGATTAGTAAAACTTATATCTGTAGGGCCTATTGATATTCTTATATTTCATTAGGAAAAATTGAGTAATGCAAATATATGAAGGTAAAAGTATTTATGAAACTTTATCTATTCTGAAGCTAATAAAACATTCAAATAGATTGCTGAAAAAGTTTACTGACTTATTGATAATCAATTAATATTAAAAATTTCAGTGTATATATTTATGAAGAGCAAAGACATGTACAAAACATTTGTAAAAGTATTATCTCTGTTGCAGTCAATAATACAGAAAGATTTTCACTTACTTTTTATTAGCTGGTTCAATTGTTTTATTTTTGTGGTTTTTCCAGAATGTAATAAGGTTTTACTGTATATGCAAAATGCTTCAGAAATGTGTGTAAAAATGGAGGACTTGTAGTAACTTTTTTATTTGAAGTGTTCTTTTTCAGTCATTAAATTGTGATTAAAAATTTTCCTGTTTAGTAAAATGACATCTTATGAAAATACAGTCGACCCCCCTATAATTACGGTCCCTATAATTACGATTCCTATAAAACTACGAAAAAATATACGTATTTTGGAAATGTTGAGTCGGATTAGTGTAGAATCGATTAATTTTATGGAAGAAAACCTTTCAATCAGCCGTAGTCCGTAAACTTGACACGTTTACAGGCTGTGATTGGAACGACTTGTAAGAAATCGGATTCCTAATAAATTGGAACGTATCTATATCTTATAGGGGGTCGACTGTATATTTTGATTATAATTGCATGTTAGTTAAATTAATATTGCAGATAAACGAAAGTTATCACATGCTATCAAAAGGTCCATCGGACATCAACATGTAGTTTCTGCTGGAAATGATAAACTAAAATGATATTATAAGATTTTAATGGCTTCTATTCAAAATGAACAATACTACTATTTTTTGATTTGAAGAGTTTTTGACTGAATATTAGAGAGGTTGAGGCCAAAGTTTTAAATGCAAAAACGTGTACGTCGGACGTTCAGTGCCACTTTCCTTTAAGTCTAGAAGTTTGACAATGGTGTTTGGAACATCAAGCATGATTTCACTGATTATCCAAACACCATTGTCAAACTTCTAGGCTTACAGGAAAGTGGCGCTGAACATCTGACGTACACGTTTTCACGTTTAAAACTTTGGCCTCAACCTCACTATCAAACTTTCTACAACAATTAGCGAGGCAAATTTAAAAAGTTCCTGGAAAATCTAAATACAAAGAGAGCAAATTTAATTTAGTGTTTAAATAAAATATGTCGAAAAATAAATATAAAACATATGTTCCAAAATGTGTTCCCACCCTTCTAAGTTCTTCCAGTACAAATCCCTGCTCTTTGATTCTAGCCACTGCACTATAAAATGTTTCACTTGATCTAGTGACTGCTGACAAAAGTCTTTTTTTATTCCCAAATTTAAAAGACATTAAAAAAAGTCTGAGGCCAGATGCAAATACCTGATAAAACAAGTCACAACAATTTTATTAGAAATATAGCATTCTGTTTATGAATAATAACCACTTTCCAGGAACTTCTGAACACTCCATATGTACGAGGCGTGTTCGAAAGTAAGTACCGTTTTGGAAAAACTCACATAAAAAATCTTTTTTCAAAACAAAATTTATTGTTACATGAAAGAGCATGTTGGAAACTATTTTTCTACATAGTTACCACCATTGTTCAGACATTTGTCATATCGGGAAACCAACTTGTCTATACCCTCTTCAAAGAAAGATGCCGCCAGTGAAGACAGCCACTGCTGAACATTGATTTGTGACAATCATCATGCAAAACAGTTTTTGAAATTTGTGGAAACTCATCACAAAGCAATCTTATTGTGAACCGTCTGTTTTCAAGAATTTTCTCAACAGAAGGCTGGCCAGTCCGTCCTTCGTCATGAACATTGGTGCATCCAGCATTGAATTGTTTAATCCACTTTCTCACAATTCCATCACTCATTACATTTTCACCATAAATCTCTACAAGTTGACGATGAATTTCAACTGGCTTAACATTCTTTGCGTTCAAAAACCCTATTACAGAACGCACTTCACAGTCGGCGGGATCGGCAATCATCTTAAACATTTTGAACGCTCACTAACACATGGAAAAACATCACAATCTGGCTCTAATGGCGTTGCTGGACTGACAATCAACCAGAGACACGTGTGCACAGATGCTGAACTGCAATACTACCACTGCGGTGGCGGTAAAACGAAACAGTACTTACTTTCCGGACGCCTCGTAATACGTGTGTAAATTTCAAGCTGACAGAGCTAGTTGCTAATTTGCTATTGGGAAGGTAATAGTTATCTGTGTTCATTCTTTAGCATAAAAATGGGTGACAAAATTTAGAGCAACATATTAATATTAAATTTTGCATGAAAATTGGCAAATGTGCTACTGAAACATTATAGTATGACCCAGAAACAAAACATTAAAGCATGCAATGGATATTTCCAAGTTTACCATGTCATACTCAAGACCATGCTGGTGTGTTTTTTTGATTACAAGGAAATGGTCCACCAAGAATTTATTGAACAGGGACAAATAGTCAACTAACAATGCTATTTAGAAGTACTACAGAGATTGAGATTTTGTTTGAAGAAAAAGATCCAAACTGTGGCCTGACAAATGGATCATTCATCTTCACAATGGGCCAGGTCATAGTACACTCACTGTGAAACATTTTTTCCCCAAAAAAGTGATTACCCAATTAGATCATCCTGTCTATTTACCTGACTTAGCTCTCTNCGGGATAAATTAATATATTTTTTCGTACATAATTGGTTATCCAAAAAATAAGTTATCCGAACAACCCCAGTCCCCAATTGATTCGGATAAACGACACTCTACTGTAAATAATATTTTCTAACATATCCCTAAACTTTTTAACAAATTGTGTAACATACTTATTAGGGAAGCTTATGAAATGTAGCTTCAATTGAACAGTTTGATTTAGAGTAATATGCTCCAATGAAAACTTTTATGAGAACTACATCTTTTTAGATTACTTATTCATAATTAGAGTCTGGTCTATTTATCTCTGTATTTTTTCAAATGGAATGTAAACGAAATCCAATTCTTAATTAAAGCCAAATTATTGGACTAGGATTAGGCTAAGTTATTAACTAGGTAGACTGTAATAAACAGTATCTATTATGATAATGTGGCTGCTTTTATAAATTATTTTCAATCTGTGTAAGCATAACAATCTCTTCTTTTGCTACCAAATTTAGTTTGATGTAAGTTTCAAATAATAATTTAGGTGAATGAATAACAATTGGATGTTTTAATTAGATTAAATTGAAATTATATACAGGATGTAGACAAAAGCACTGCACTAGACAATATTTTGCTTCTGCTAGAGTATTATAGAGGTTCCACTTATAATAGTATATAAGGGCCATATTTGTTGTGTGTATATGTGTAGACAGTGGTGATATTCAGCGGGTTCACACAAGTTTGGCTGAATCCATTGTTAACATTTTCAAAGTTTTCCAAACCTTGTTAAACACACGTAACATTTCTCATTGGTTTTGTTTCTTTTAAAAAATATATAAAAAATATACGTATTATACTCTGTAACACTACTAAACTAGAGCCTTATACCCCATTCGCCTTGGTGCGACCTCCCTCGATCATTTCAACCTCAACTGAAACGAGGTTCAGTCGCGATCGACTCAAGAGAGTTCTTGAAACTAGATCCACTGACAGAGATCCCACAATCCCATGCATGCGAGAAAATACAAGATGGCTGCAGAAAACGTGTTGGGCTATTGACAGCAAAATAAAAAAGATATTGTATTTTGAGAAATGATGGCATCTGTCTATTATTAGATATATCACAAGAAAAAGTATTGTATTTATTTCTAACCAAAACTTCCATTTTGTTTGTCGGTGTTCATGACTTACTGCATAGTTATGTCAGTTTTATCATTGCGTGTAATATATATCTTTTATATGGGTATCTTAAGGTCAGTTTTTGTGCTAATGTTGCTAATGCACCATTTGAGTGAAAAAAAATTGTTAAGGAAAAATTTTCTGTTAGTGAACCCTTTGTTAAATTTTTCGAATATCACCACTGGGTGTAGGTGCCAGAAAGAAAAATCATGAATTATTCCTTAATTTTAAACAATTTATATCACTAATAAAAATATATGACAGAAATAAAGGTATAATAATTGTTGAAAAAATATAACTTATTTATTCACGCATTCCACATAGAAGAGAAATTATTAAAAGTTATTCTATTTCTTGAATATTATTGATTTTTAAGACTATGACAAAATACAAACAGAAATTATTTGAAATTCAATGGAGATAAGCTAAGTTCTGATTAAACTTTTATATTCAAAGTTGTAGATTACAAAATTGGAAGACAATGTTGTCTACTAATTCTGACTTAACTTAAAATCAGTCATTTTGGATTGACATGAGTCATAAGTGATACAGCAGACATCCCATCTGAATTCAATTTCTTGTCAAACTCAAAGTATCATATCTGTTTCTCTTTCAGTAACTGATGAATTTGAATGAAATTTCATTGATCCCAACTCAAGTGTTTACTCTATTTCTCTAATAAACATTATTAAAATGGGTGAAGGGATCTAATAGGGCCAATAGCATAGCATGATCACTGTAATTTCAAGTGTTTACCTTTGCTTGCAAAGATAAACACTTGAAATTAAGGTGGTCCTAAACAATCCTAAACATTTGTATGGTAGACACTGTCTTGCTTAAAATGCATGCATCTTTCTGAATTATCATCATTTAATTGTGGAATGAGAATTTTTCCACTTATCTAGATACACAACAATCCTTTTTAAATTAGAGAGTCATCCCTAATTGAAAAGGACAAAAATGAGTGTTTTTGCTCTTAGCAAAAATACTATCACAAGCATGTTCAACAGTTGTTTTTGAAATTTTTTAGCCCTAAATCCTACAGTTATGGGTTTTCACTAACAACGGAACTGCAACCCTTTGCAATTTTAAAACCAGTTGAAACACAGATCATTCAAAAATGCTCTTCAAGGCAATCACAATGGTAAAAGAATATTTTTTCATATATACATATTGTAAAGAGACAGAGACTTCCAAATTTTTCCTCAAATTTTAGATTTATTTTACTAAATGCTGTTATATAAAGTCGCAACAATCAACCCTATGAAATGGACAGAAAATAAACTATCCTGTTGAGTCCAACTTGAAGCCAAAAACCACTTACTTAACATTATCAACTTTTTGAAAAATTCAGATATGTAAGCATGTAATTCTGCTGTTGTTGAAAAATATAGTAAAGCCTGGACTCCACATTACTGGAATTCACAACATAATCGTAAAACTGAACGAAACTTTCGGTTTTAGAACATTCAGTTGGACAGAAACAAGACTGAAAGTAGAGTTAAAAATGATTTAACTTTTCCATTTTCGTTCTGCACTTCTGTCGTACTGCAACCAATAAAAACGCAAGGATTTGTGACACATAGTTACATGCATTAGTTACGTGTGTTTGATTGTCATAATAGTAGAAAGTGTAGCAAAAACAATGAGGAAATAAATAGATTTGGAATTATTCATCGAAGAAGTTAGAAAATACAGATGTCTGTACGACAAAAAATGTAAATAATTCAAAGATTATTAACAATTTCATTGTTAACAAGTAAAATGGCAAAACCATATTTGGGACAAGACTATGTCTTGGAGACTCACTACTAAGCGGAATCACTTTGATGCTCAAGGCAGGTCTTCAAACTTCGCCGGCCACAGCCACGAGGTCATCCACAATGCATTTTTGATGAAATTAAGCTATCCAATTTCGAAATTTCTCTCCATTGTGTGTCAGCCTGGGTTGAATTTTTGTCGACGCGTAACGAAAATTTCCCATATTTGAAAAAAACAATCGTGGCTATTGTATCATCCGAAATTATTTTTTTATTTTGCACAAACAATAAACAGTTTAACCCGATTATAACGTCATCCAATGTAATGACAACCCTAATAACATCAAATTTTTATCGGTCCCACGATTTTACTATACTAGATAATGTTAAAAAACCTACTTGTAATGACACCCTGTTTTAATGTCATATTTGAAGCACTCCCAAATTTACAAAATTAGATTACAAATTTTATTTAACATAGAAGAAACTACGTGTTCAGTCCTAAGATCAGAGTTCACTTCTTAGAATGACTGTGGGTGGTACTCTCCCCACCTGACTTCGGTGGGGTGAGGTGCCTGTTTGTATTGGGTTGTTCAGAAAGTAAGTTCGTTTTTTTTCCATGGAAAAAAACACAATATTTTTATAATAAATAAATATTTTGCTGAATTATATATCAACCATTTTGGTCAAATACCTGTTGTCATCGTTTCTGGTAGTACCATGATTTCACATTCATAAAATTTTTGATCGTTGCTTACAAAAAACTGATCCAAGTGACTTTTGACATTGTCATTTCAAGTAAATGTCTTAGTTAAAAAAATTTGTATAGACTGGAACAAGTAATAATCTGAGTGTGCTCCATCTGGTAAATATGGTCTGTATGATAGTACATCCCATCTAAGTTATAACAGTTTCTGACCAGTTACCTAACTTGTGTGAAAATTGACATCATCATGGTAAAACACTACACCAGTTTTGTTTATCAATTCTGGCTGCCTTTTCTGTTTGATGATATTACTCAAGTTGTTTACTCCATGGCAGTACACTTTCGAATCAATTGTCAAATTGTCTGGTAAAAGCTCAAAAAAAAAATTTCCTTAATTAATCCCACCAAAGAGAGCATCTCTCTTTAAGAACATGTGGAACCCATATATCAAGCTTTGAAACAAAACCAATTTGTTTCTAGTAATCATAAATGGTTCAATTTGATAAATTTAATCTCTTAGAAATTTCACGTGTTGTTATTCAGCAGTTTGCTTCAATCAGTACCTTTATTTTGTTTCCATTGGCTTCATCTGGCCGTCCAGAACGCTGTGCATCTTCAATATTGAAATTGCCAGAACGAAATTTTGTAAACCAGTTTTGGCACTGTCTTTCTGTCAATACATCTCCATACATGTCACACAATTTTTTCTCACTTGAACAGCATTCTTACCTTTTCGGTAATAAAAGAGCAAAATATGCCGAAAATGCTGCTTCTGATCTTCCATATTTGATGACACACAAAAAATAAACAATTGCACGAAATCAAACAAAATTTTTTACAAATAAGCCTTAAAATGCTAGCTGTCAAAATATATAATGATAATATGGTTTAGAATGAAAATGGCAGGAAAAATACGACTAATCCGTCTAGCGGTAAAAAAAACGAACTTACTTTCCAAACAACCTAATAGAAGAAGGTTGCCATTTTGTATTTTATTTTGACTCTGTTCTCGGTCCCCTGACTACCTACAAGTCTGGATTTTTTTATGCGCATATGATTTGGGCACCTAATACTCTGTGCCAAATATCAACTCTTGATATGTACTCCTTCATACCTCTAAGCTGATAACATAAACCGACAGTATGATTTTATAAACAAGACATAGTTTTGTCAATAATATGCAGAGAAAGAATGCAAAATCCGTAGCATCGTCCATGTTTGACTCTTTACAACAATTTCAGAAGTGATCAACAGATGGCGCATTTCCACATAAAGTTCATTTCAGTGCTAGTGGAGTCAAGTTAAAACAAAAACTCTATGTTTCAGTTCTGTTTCTGAGTTTCTGTTTTCAGGTAATGTGGAGTCCAGGCTTAAGAGTCCTATTTTGAAAATGTAATATTACTCTTTACTGTATGCATATCTGGGAAAATTTCTTCTGCCTTGAAGAATTTCAAATTACCTGGATTTCACTGGATTTAAAATTACAAAGGGTTGCAGTTTCCTTCAAAGATGAAATGTTGTCCAGGAATTCTTGTCCTCCTCAATTTGATACATTTCTGTGTATACATCACTAAGCCCGATGCATTATTAATAAACCAAACAATTACTGTAATTACAAATATATAAGTTACACCATGCTGGGTAAAGTGATTGCTGGCTGAGTGCCATGTAAGTGAGTATATAGGCCAAGGGCATAGGAGTCATCCCCAGTCAGCACTGTGAGTAACCATGGATGGTTGGTTATATCAATAATTAAATGTGTGGAAGTGAAATTCCTATACAATATTTCTGTACAACATGAGACAAACTTGACATGTTTTGCTGTAAATCAGTGATTCTCAACCACAAGATTTTTGAAGTGTGCTGCCACTGCCCATACCCATACATAAGCAACACCAGACAAGTAGTTCAATTGGTTCTACCTTCCTAGGATGCATTTGGAAATTGTAACTGGTGTTACCAGTAACTGCTGGTAGTTACCAAGGCATTTAGAAAATGTGACCTAAATAACTAACTGCATTTAAAAATTACTGTTATGATGTCACAGGTTGTCCTGCAATACTTACTGAAATGCTGCCAAATTTTTAAATTATTAAAAGTGTACCGTGACAAAATAAAGATTGAAAATCACTGCTGTAAATTAACATAACTGACCCTAATAACTTTTCTGATTACAACTTTGAAAAAATATAGAATTTTAAAGCCCTTTTTGAATCGCCCAGTATCTCAACCTAAAATGTTATTTTCACTTTAAAAATTTAGGTTGAAGAAACTGTAATAAATATAATCAACCTGATTAATTATTTCAAATACCTAATAAATAGCAAGATTCCATTATCAGACTATTAATTAAATTATAAATAATTTAGCCTTAATAGCCCCACTAAAGGAAATGGCTGTGTGTTTGGTATTTGATAAAACTACATCACCATCTTCTGATTTAATGATTTCAAATAGTTTTCAGTTTCAATGAAAGTTACAGGTTAGTTATTAAAAATATTATGCAAATTTTCATTTCAGCATACAAAAATTGCAAATTCAAATGTTTAGTTAACTTATTTATATAAATATATATTTGAATTTACTATCAGCATGCATCATCTATAGTTTGATTTATTCTTGCACATTTTATTTTATAAAATAATAAATATATTTGTCATATCTAAAATAAATTACCTTTCCTTCTTTTGCTAATCTTTCTCTTTCCTTTTTATTGATATGGGCTTCAACACTAGTCTCTCCACGAGTTATTAGCCGAGCATGCCACATTGTGAGTGCTCCAATTGCCAGAAACACACCAAGGCACAATAAAGCTGCATAAACAAGACAGGCATGATATAGGTAATCAACGAAAGAACGATTATTGACTGTCGTAGAGGTAATAGACGTTGAATACTTTTCTTTGATAAAAGTTTCTAAATCAGATTTTTCCTGTATATCAGAAAAAATAAAATTTTTTTGAAACAATTTCAAAAATAATTCATAAATTTTTATTTTTACTCAACTGATTTTGACTTGACATAAGTGGAAAGTTGATGGGTTTTGTTCTCAGGAATAACAATGGTGGTATTTAATGGCTAAAAGAAACAATAACTTATATTATATTATGTGCTTAACACTATGTGTTTTATTATTTATTATGAACTTACTTGAGTTCTCACTTCAACAAAAAAATGCACATATGCAATAGGAATACCAAACAATAAGACAAAAGAAACACTCAACCAGATATAAACACAATACATGAAAAAATATCTATGGTTATAATATCCAATGCAATTGTTCAACCATGCTGTAAATAGTTAAGGAAAAATAAATAAATTTTGTTAATGAATGCTAACTTTATCATCATCTATAAAAATTAATTTCTTAGAATAAGCAATTGTCTTTCTTTTAATAATGACATATGCATATTTAGAGTTCTCTCTCTACTAATTTCATATAAAAATCTATAAGCAATGACAAATAAAACAAATTAATATAAATAAAATATTTTACAAAGGATATTTTTTGCAATTATTTCAGTATTATATGATGTTTAATGAAATACTGATTCAAGGATTTTCAATTAAAGTCCAAAGTAATTACATTGGTCAAGAGGTAAATCTATATTAGATTTTGGGTGAACAATTTTGAGATATTTCATTACTTCAAAAAAGATAAAAGAAATTCAAGCAGCTTTTCCAGTTGCCAAATATTTTATTACATGAAATAAATATTTTTGGTTAGTTTTAGGCCCTCTTCAGCTTATTGAAGAGGGCCTAACATTACAGAATTAAACAAAAGTTTTAATGTAATGTTGCAGTAAAAGTAATTAACCAGTGATTATGCATAATTACTTTTACAGTATAATCATAATCACTAATCACCAGGTGAGTTTAAAAGTAATATATTCAATGATTTTTATATAATTTCCAAAATGTAGATTACAACTTTCCCACCTTTTGTTATTTGTTTAAATCCATAAGTGACTTTATTAAAATTTTAATAAAATAAATCAAAAACACATTTTTTGTTTTAGTAATATTAAAAAGATTATCTGAATATAAAAAAACTTAAAAAATTTGTTTCAGTGTACATTAGAATTATTTGTACAAAATACAGCTTTGAACCTCATGCAAAATATCACATAAAAAGAAAGTAAAGCCACACTCAGTGTCTTTTTTAACTGTTAATGCTGCATTCACAAGGAGACAGTGAGATGTTATCTTCTTTGATTTGAATAAAACTTGGTGATCATGTAGTCCTAAACACAAATAGTTCTTTGTCAAAATAATTGGACCCACTTCTGAAGCATTTCCAAAAAAACAGGCCTCTGAAACTTGAGTGTTTAGCTTATAAATCTGGAAATTCTATATATCACAAGAATGGCAATAGCCAAGTGAATAAGGTTATAGATACTGAACCCACATGATATGGGTTAGATCCTTTGCAAATTTCATTTACTTTATTATTTTACTGCATTATTATTACTATTCTAATTCCTCACTTGAGTGTCAGATATGGTGGTATTGTTTTATTTGAAATGTAACAAACTAAGATTATCAGCACAAAACCTTTCTCACTAATTTCTAGCCGTATTAACAGGAGTACAAAGGTTTAGTGAGAAAGGTTTTGTGCTGATAATCTTAGAAATAGTTCTAGCTACATATGCATAGTAGTGTAACAAACATAAGTGCATGAGGAAATTGTGCATAACATTAACAATTAAAAGAATGCAACTATGCTATTCTATTTTCATATCAGGGTCTTGTCCTTTTCGTCCAAGAGCAGTAATGTCTGTAGTTTATTCACTTTTGTTAACAGAGTATGTAATCACAAGCTAAAATATCTGAAAATAATTAAAAATAGTGATAAGTGACATGAGGAATAAGAATAGTAATAATAAGGCTAATGATATACTAAAATAATAAAATAACTGTTCAGTTTTTTCTTTGTTTTTTTAAAAAAATATGTAAGTTGCCTAGAATCATGCCCATATCTAGTAGTTCCGTGATCAACAACTTTATCCACTCTACTACTGCCATTCTTATGATATGTAAAACTTCCAGACTTATAAGTTGAACACTCAGTTTTCAGAGGCTTGTTTTTTGAAAACGCTTGAGAAGTGGATCGTATTATTTGGGCAAAGAACCATTTGTGTTTAGAGCTATGTTCTCGCCAAGTTTCATTTGAATCAGAGAGGATGTCTGGCTGTCTCCTTGTCAGTGTGTTTTTTAATTTCTTTTTATTTGTACAAAAATATCAAAAAATTTCTTGCAAAAAAATATAAAACTGATTACTCAAACATGGCAAGATATCATGACATTTCAATTAGATAATTTTTCATCATTTATCATTTTTCTTTCATTTTGTATTTGGTTGAATTACACTTTCCTCTACATAAGCACCTTTCAGTATCCAACCTGAAATTGATGGTTTTTTTTCTTGTATACTCCTTAAGAGACAGTGTGATATTTGGTACATTTTCTACAGTAAATTGTTTGTCACACAGAAAAAACTAATTTCTGGTATACATTTGTGAGATGCCCCTTCTTTGTTCCCAAGTGAAAGTACTCATCAATTTCAGTAGCAAATATTATTGCCAACATATTCTGCAGATAACCTCTTGTCCTGTCAACATCTATTATTCTGGTAGATCTTGTAAAAATAAAGGACACTTGAAATGCATTATACATCAAATTTACCACCCTAGACTGGCAATTATGCATAAATTATCCAATAAATTTGATTAATTCATAATACTTATATATGAAGTATAAAATAATGATTTTGGTACATATGATCAATTTAAATAATGTAAAAATGATAAATTTTTTAATAAATTGTAATATAAAGAATTTACGTCAAAAATAAAATTTTTGTTTTAATTATCATGCCTTTCACACAAAACAACATATCTATAATAATTTCAAGATTTAGAATTTAACATAATTAACGTAAGACTCAGAATAACGTAATTAAAATACAAAGTAAACTTAAAGTATAACTGAAAGGATTCGACAGTGATGATCCATTTTAAGAATGCAACGATTGCAAACACTACAATGATGAGTACGAGGTGGTTTGGGCGAAATACAACGTTTACATATTGATACAGCTTCTGGCACCAAAGCTCCCTGTAATAATGTAAGTTGAAAGACTTTGTAAAACAAACATCTCTGTAACATGAAAGAAAAACTTACCTCAGGAGGATAGCCTGGTAAAGTGATAAATGCCATATAATAATGGAAGATGACATTAACAAGAAGCCAATTTCCCACTATCAATAATAGAATAGTAAATGGGATACTAGTTTGCCACCAGAATGATAAACCAATTGTATATGCAATGATAATCATAGATAAAGTTAAAATGATTACTCCCACAACAAATATCTAGAAATATTTAATAATAAATGGAATTATAAAGATGATATAAAATTTTAATTAAAAGTAATGGTTATCAATACATACTGGTCCCATTGCCTTTGTAAAATGGTCAACAAACCAAAACATCGGCTCCATACACGTATCTCCAACATAAAATTTATCAGCAAATTCATTATAACATAAAGTTACGAAAGTTAATTTTATCAAATAACCATAGAATTTCAATCTTTCCCATAAGCGTTTGATACATGAATGCATAGTCCAATGTATTTGAACCATTTCTTTAGGATATCTCTTCATAAATACATCAAAAAATAAAATAAAATGTACAGTGTATTATTTATAGAAATGATTATGGTAGCACCAGAATAAATTAAATAATGAAGGAAGATACAAAATGTCTGAAAGAAACAAAATGAAATAATTTACTTTAAAATAAATTCATTTTTAAAGTAGAGAGGGTCCTCAACATATACATGCCAATATACTTTAATGATTAATGATTAATTAGAGAAGTTGAACTCAATGTATATTGAATATATTCACACTTATATTATTGTACAATGTACAGTACCATGCATATATTTTCTACAAGTTTAGTACTATTTTTAATCATTTAATTGTTTATTTTTGTTTTATTAGAAAATACTCTATTCAATTATTAGTTTTGTATACAATAAAATAAGTTTTTCCTTACTACAAAATCCAATAAATGTAATTAAAAATTCTATAAAATAAGAAACACTTCAAATAAGCCATAACATGTAATAAACAAAAAAAAAATCTTAAAAGTGCATTTTAATAATCTGTCCTTTTTTCCACACAGCAGGAACAAAGTCATAGTGAAAAGTCAACCTTTATTTTAATGCTCTTCTCTGCCTCAATGCAAAAAAATTTAAAGAAATCTCTCTGAAAGTGGCACAATATTATTAGTACGAAACTCAAATAAAAATATTCTAATGATATTTTTTACTCATGCAACCTCCAGAAAGATATTTTTGAAGTTTTACATATTTTGAGGCTATTCTCTGCCTTGATAAAGTTCAAGTCATGAGTATATATGCAATATTTTATCTTATTTGTTATATATAGTCTTTAAATTTATTTATTTACATTTTTGTGTGTATTTATTCCTGTATGTCTGTATATGTTTATTTGTACAAGTATCCCTCATATAATATGGTAGTTATGTTCTGAAAAAGTGTTGTGTTATGCAAATCTGTGCTATACAAAACAAAAGACTAATGCAAAAAATAAGTTACATTCCAGAAGTTAGCAAAAATATGCTGTTCTTTTTCATTATTAAAATACATATTTTTACTAAAACAATTGATAATTTATTTCTAACCAATAATTAACTAACAATCACAACTAAAAGTACTGTATTACACATTAATATTAATATATTAATTTTAATTAAACGAGGGTATTTTCTCTTTACAAAATATCCTTGACATCTCAGCTTTTTTGTTGAATCAGAAGTATCAGCAACATTTTAATATTTTTTATTTTTAACACAAAAAATTTTTAAGGATGAGGAAATAAAAATGTTATTAATTAATCAAAAATTTGTTCTAGCAGGCTGTTTGTTCAGTTGAGTACCAATTGACTTTTTTTCCAGAATTTGTGTTTGAATACTGAATTGTTTGAGAACTAAGATTCTGCCATAATTCATTCATCATTTTATGAATGATTGCTTATCTACAGTTAAAAAAAGTTTAACAACACTAACCTAAAAATGTTTACTAAATACAAAGGTTAAAGTTTATTTAATCTATAAAAAAGAACTAAGTGATGGTCTTAATAGCTAAAGTCTGATAGCAACAACAACAACACCTAGTTGATAGGACAAGGAAGAAAACAATTGCACTAACTTTCCTATCAGTTTTCATTAAAGTAAATCTGATGAAAAACACAAAATAATTTAAAAATTTCAATATTCTAAAATCTGTGGGCAAATTTGAGACAACACATGTGCTTACTTGAATTAAGAAAAAAATATAGAACAACAAGGTTTACACTTGAAAATTGAGAAATTTTGTATGGAGGATTTCCAAAAGCATGTTAGAGCAAAACCTAAAATCGTGTTATATGAAGAATATCCCCAATTTTAAAACTGTATTGTATGAGGGATACCTGTATATGTTATTTTAGTCTTCAAATTTTATTTCTTTTACTTTGTATATTTATTCCTTTATAATTTCCTTTCTTTGGTACATTTTATTTGAATTAAACATGTTTTTTGAAGTTCCTTTTCCAAATATACATTGAAATGGACATTCTCCAACTTAAATAAACATGTTCTATTTGAGAATGTTCCATTTTTGTTTTTGTATTGAAATGGACATTCTCTTCTATGTTGTTGTCGCCTGAAGTCCTATAAAGGAGGGGCCAAAAATAAATCTAGTTCTGCTGGATAGGAAAGCTGTTGATTTGTGTTTTAAAATAAAGGTTAACTCCATTGTATGACTTTATTTCGTTCTTGAGAAGTAAAAGGACATATTATAAAGATATAATGAGCAAAACACAATTTTTGAAGGACTATGTTTCATCACATTTGAAGTTTTTAAGTATTTCCTATTTGTATTCCTATATGTTTTCATATAAACATCAGCTTTTTATATTTAACATTGAATAAAATTAGTAATGATTAAATGGACTAAAAGTAACTTCCTTAAATTATATTTGTAAGTAATAAACCGTATAACAGCTTATTACTTACAATTATAATTTAAAGAAATTGAACTTTTTAAGTTAGTTCGTCTGGAATGTATTTTCCAATAAAGCATTGGTTCAATGGGAAATTAATGCCTGACATACCTCACTTCATTTAAGTCATTGTTGTTTTAAACATAGCTACAAAATATATTGAGGACCCTTGTGTATAATACATATATAATTAATTTTTTTAAACTTATATTTCCTAATGAGTGATAGTTACCAATAAATATTATTTTGAAACAAAGAGGGATGGTTTTTAAGTATTTCCTATTTTTTTTTAAATAATAATAATTATTTATTAAAAATTATTAATTAAAAATGTTTATATATACACTAAAATAGTGTGCTTAGATTAAATAATGATCTGAAATTTATACTATAACCACTTACAATTGAAACTTTGTGGATAATTATTGCATTTAGAAATATGTTTTATTCAATAACATTTCTTTTTTACAATATGCACTTTGGCCAAATAACTAGCTTGGTCCTCTTCAGTTGTAAATTAGTTATTTGGCCAAAATAAATATTGTAAAAAAAAGTGTTATGAATAAAACTTATTTCTAAATGCAATAATTATCCACAAGGTTTGAATTGTAAGTGGTTATAGTATATATTTCAGATCATCCTGTAATCTCAACCACACTATTTTAGTGTTAGTTAGATGGAACACTATTTTAGTGTTTAATAAATACAATCTTTATTGTAAAAAAAAATAAATTTGAATATCTTTCATGCATTTAAACACAGTACTTACAATTTTCACACTCTAATTATTTTACATTATTATAAAAAACATTAAGAAAACAGAAAAAAATTGACTTACATTAAATTTCTTTCATTTAGAAACATTTTAAAGTCATTCTTTTAATACTTTGATTTCTTGTAATTTATTGTTGTTTAACTTTTATCCATGACTTAAGTGTCAATCATTAATAAAATTTCTCTTCAGTTAATATTCCTAAAATAAAAAACAAATTATTAGCTACTATAAAAATCATTTGAGATCAATAAGACACAAATTCACTCTAATGATGTTAAATTTTATTGTTAGAAAATTTATCACCATAAGAGTGAATAGCATGTACTGTACCACAAATAGTAGACTAATATCATAATTTTCAACTTAAAACCATTCAGATATGAAATTAAAACACAGCAGCAACCTAACTTGTATAATAATGCATAACTTATCAAATTCCATAGTTGAATTTTCTCTTTTTGATTTAGCATGATAAAAACATTTGTAATTCATTTACATATAATTCCAGGTGGGTAATTAATCATCTTTTATTACTTAAAAAAATTTTTTTAAATCATTAGTTATTGCAATAAAATTTTAATTGTTGCCTTGAAAATATTACATCTTTGTAAAAGTTTTTGGGTTTAATCATAATTAACTTCCACTTTCAAACCTAATTGGTTCCTAGAAAACTGTTAATATGCAAGTTATGCTACTTGAAAGTCTGATTTCCCAAAGATTAAGTATCAAACTAAGATTTCATTCCTGAAAATACAATTTAAATTATGAGATAACTAAGGAAATACATGGCACTTATACAGCATTTCATAAATCATGATAGAAAACTTTTTATCAGTCATAATAAAGCTGTACTGTAAAGATCTAGCATACTTTATATTTTAGGATCAACTGAAAGCTTATTTTCAAACAAATACAAGTACATTTCAGAAAATAAATTAGACATTAAGTGTGAAATTCTAAAGTATTTATAAAAAGTTCTGTAGGAAATTTTTAAAAAGATTCTGAAGTGTGTTAATAGAGTTTTGATTTTTACAAGTTTGAAAGTAAAGCATATTGTACTGTATCAACTGCTTTCTTTTCCTCTAAGCTAAGTCTCACTTCAAACTAATTAAACCAAAACAGCTATAAAAAATTCCGTATTGTACAGTAACATTTCTTACAGTTTTATGAAAACATTTTCAAGCTATTTTTATTGTTAATATTATCAGGTACATTAAAAGATGATTAAACTAGAATAATCTTTTTTTAGATACTTATTCATTCACATCAGTAAAACATAAGCTTTGTATTTGTTTATCAAGTAACTTTTGAGGGATATAAATACAACTTTTATTTAAGTAGCTTCATTATTATTTTGTAATATTAAATTTCTATTACAAAATATAGTTTTAAGAGAATTAACACTCAATGCAAAAGATATAGTTAAGTAGCATTAAATAATTTAATTACAATCTTACATATTATTCCAAATAAAGTGAAATGCTAAATTAAATTTAATGGCATATACTTTGCATTGAAATCAATATTTTATTAACTTATTTTAAGAAGAAAATTTGTGAAAAAGAATGTTTAAATTGTTAATGAATCTAATATAGAAAAAGGACACAAAAATAAAGATAAGGAACAATGTGAAGCAATATTTTAATTGTCTACTAAACTGTAAAATATAGAAGCCAACTTGGATACAAATATTCCTCAATAAACAAACTACAACTAAGATATTTGAATTTTAAAGAAGTTGACGACGTACCTAATTAAACTGAACTGTGTTAATAATAATATATACACTTTACAATTAAACCACAAGTTTATTAAATTTTAAATTATCAATTCTTAATATATTCAAAAATGAATAGGCCTATAAAAAGTATTAAAATATCATAATTTAATTAATATCTTTATCCATTTCATTAAAGACAAATTAATAAAATTAACTTTAACTTTTAACACTATATAACTTATGCAAAGGTTACTTCAAAATGTATTAAACAGATACTAAAAAATCATGATTTTGGAATCATTTGAAATTATTCCTCTCAGTGAGTAACAAAAATAAAACTTTTAAAAATAAATTTCATATAGGTAAGTCAAAACTGAAAATTATATTACATTAATATAGAGTTATAATAATCTAAAAATACAATTGTTCATTAATTTGAAACTTGAAACTCCAGATAACTTACTGTACTACGTTACACGATAAAAATTGCTTTTATCGCAGCCACATTTCTATAAAAGAACTGATAAGGTAAAGCAGCTTTAACTCTAAAGTCATAAGATGTTTCTAATGCCTGATAAAACATTTTGTAACACTTTCATCTTATTGGCTCATCATAATAAACTGAATTTTCATTACCGAACCTTTAAATAAGGATTGCAGAAATAAAACAAATATTTAATGATTCCCTTTAATATTTGAGTGGATATGTTAATTTCAATTATTGTGCACACAAAACATTAATTAAATGATGATTTTTCTTTGTAAAGCTTAATGAGTATGGGTTTGTGGTTTTCAATTATATAACTCCATAACTTCAATATTTATTACTTTTAGAATAATTTTAAATTGTGTATGATTAAAAATATCATATAATTGCTATATTTATTTTAATAACTACGAATATTTTTAATAACTACGAATATTTAATTTAAAATATTTGCACAACTATATACTTTTAAATTGAATAATTTTATATTCAACAATTGCGGTAATTACTTATTGACATCATCATTATTATTGTTCTCTCCTTGACACTAAATGAATATTTATGAAAAGCTGCAATTACCGAATAATATCTATCATATCTTCGTGCAATCTTAAATATACATTTACATATGAACATAAATAACACTTTATTAATTAAAAAAAAGTATATATATTTATCCAAATATTATTCATTACATTTCCTCCATGAATGAATGAGTCAAGAAAGGTTGCAGGTGGAACTTGGCAAACTGAAACTGATTATTATAATACATGTGCACATGCGTATTTAAAATTGATACAAACGTTGCCAACCAAGAAAAATTTTTAAATATTTAATATTTTCAAACTTTCAGATTTTTATTTTATTTTTATAGGTATAGTTTTAGTTAATAAAATAATAATAAAGAGATAAACCTTCAATATACTAAATTAAAGTAACTTTTTTTTTTATTTTCTTTCCGCTTTCAGGGAACTAAAAGGGCTTTTAAACAATCCCGTAATGAATTCGGGTATTTTCTGGTCTGGCGGGGAGAGATAAAACTTGACAAATTCGACTACTCAGTACTATGAGAAATCCTTGAAAATTCGATCCAGTTGTATTACGGCGGTACTTTAGCCGTTTAACTATCCGAAGTCAGATCACAGGCGTCGAGATGGGGAAAGATGGGGACTTTTCCCCGGGTCCAGAAAAAACTTAGGGATTCTAGTTCCTATCCGTATAAATTAATGCTACTTTTACGAAAATTACGAATTACGAAAAATAAAATCTTTAAAACTACTTTCTATTGATAAAGAAGCATTCTTCATATTTCAGCTATTTAAAAAGTATAGCAAAAGGGAACCGGCTCTACCCCGGGCCCCATAAAAAACTCTCCACGGCCCTGCACTTATTTTGGAGATCCGATGAGAATAAATTATTTTCTCATCCAGTTAACAAATTCAAACTTTACTTCTCGAAAATGAAAGATTACAATATTTCATTTCCGAGAAATGTAGATAATTTTTATTCCACTCATTTTCATGAGATAAAATATATCTTTGTCTAACGGAAATTCCTTGTTGACCGGACGTTAACGACAAGCTTAGAAATTTAAAGAAAGAATAATTAAGAAAGTTATACACGATAATATTAGAAATTTAATAGTAATTTCAGATTTTCACATTGCACATTATAAGTTATACCAGCGGCCGAAATTACACCTATTATGAGTACGTCTGATCAATAATGGAATCGACTATAACGAATGAATAACTTAAGATACCACTGGTATCCGAATATTTTTATTTAAAATCTCTGTATAAAAAGTCGTACTAAAATTGATGATGAAAATCAAAATATGGGTATAACGAATTTATCTTGGAAAAACTTTCGATTACATAAAGAAACACACTACATCTTAATAGCCACTTTTATTAGTTAATTATGAAAATTTGTTTTAAAATTATTTCAAGAAAAACAATTAAATACAATAAAATGCAAAAAATAACGATTTGATGAATAATGTAATAAATTGATCCAAATTTTTCTCGCTCCGGCTACAAGAAGAATAGTTAATTTCCTTCGACGCCGAGCCTCGACTGATTCGAAGGGTGGAGATAGTAAATGTGGTAAAAACTGATTTTTGGGGGCAATATCTTGTATGTATGGGTATGATTTCTTTGACTTTTTTGCTTTGGGGGGAAACTTCTTATTCAGAGTTCACATCTTGCTTATATCATCACTATTTTAATATTTAGTTTTTATTTTACAGTCCTGTGTAAAATAAAAGTATTCGTTTCAAGGAAATGAAAGTATATACACCAATGTAGTGTGATGTATATGTAGTACTTAATTGCCTATACTGTATAAATGATCTCGGAAAAGTTACTTTCGACAGAGTCGGTAGATTAACTACCGACTCTGCTTTCGATTTGATAAATGAATTTATGAATATATTACATCATAAATTCATTTATCAAACCGAAAGTAAAATAAACTTTTTGAGTTGACATAAATTTACAGTACTGATATTGCTTGTTTGATTTACATACTCGTATACGTTTACGATTGTCCCATTGCCGAAGGAAATTTTATCTTACATGTTTTACATATTGAGGCGGATAAGAGCTTACAATGAATGATGGGCGAGAGAAATGAAAACTGTTTCCTCAAATATATTTTTGTGAAAAAATTAAAATCTTATGTAAATTTTAACTCATTCTTGCCATTGGTTGAAAATCAATGACGCTATTCATCAAAACGTTTATAAAAATGGTCCGATAGGTAACGCGTGGATAAAACCACTGAGCAGTGGGTTCGCGACTGACTCAACGTACTGGACTAGTATAATTTTTTGAGTTTTATTTACGTGTCTAATAAACTAAATAGATGATTTTCTACGGGAAACTTGCCAGTTTTCTTGTAGAAAATCCTCCCGAAAGTCGTCCTTTCCTTGTCGGATTGTTCGCGCGTTCGTTGCGTTGCCATAGACCATCAAAACAATAAAAATTCTTCGCCATTATATACTGTTGTAAATAAAAAAAACATACTAGTATATAAGAAAACATCATAATAGACAGAATTTTTATATTTATAATTACATTTATAATTTTTTAAAATAATTCAGAAATGTTCATACGTTTTATACAGCTCTCTACATTACTTATAATAAAATATTAATTAATAATATAGGATTTTTAAAAAATTTAAATTTCGTTGTTTTGATTTTTCTTATTAAATCTTTTAAAAATAAAATTAAAAAAAAAAAGTAAAAATATAATAATTTTTTAAAACGCTTACGTCATAAATTCATATAAAAGTTAAGTAGAGGTCGTTTGTGTCGATTGACGAGAAGCACCTCGAGGAAGGAGGATTGAAGAAGAATTAAAATGGTTGTAAGTTCAATCAGAATTTTTTTAAAAGTCAATAGAATAATCAAATTCACTCAACATCGAAGACGTTGGATGAGTACTTTAGTAAATGAGGTATTCGCGAATGAGTACAATTATATTATGAAAACTTGATAATATTTAATATCAATTTATTAATTATATGTAAAGATGATATATGTTTCGTTTATTTAGTTTTGGAGGTGATTGATTGATTGATTATAGAAGAATATTACCACAATATGGAAAAAGATCATAAGCTTAAGCTTGTTGCGTGTAATGTTATCAATCATGAAAGAAACTCTTATCAGTAGTTTCTAGCTTATAAGATTTTGGAAGAAGTTACTTATAAGCCACTTGTATATATATTTGTATATGTGTAAAGTACCGAAAAGTAATTTCTATCAATTTTTTATAAGCTTGTAGACAAATTAAGATGAAATTATAATTACACTTTTGAACGAGATGGTTGGAACCCTTAACGGAGCTGTAGACCCTACCCGTAGGAGCAAAAAAGTCGAGAGCTATACCTCTACGTGTGACCCTCGGCCTGATACAGTCCCCGAAATCGGCCTACTTCTGGGTCGCACGTGGTTGCTTCGCTAAGATTGTCACATTTAGCTGTTTAGGCAATGTGATATGCAGGAATTGAGTGGCACGCCGAGCCTTGACTGATGCGGAGGGTGGATGTAGTAAATGTGGTAAAAACTGATTTTTGGGGGCAATATCTTGTGTGTATGGGTATGGTTTCTTTGACTTTATTGCTTTGGTGGGAAACTTCTTATTCAGAGTTCACATCTTGCTTATATTATCACTATTTTAATATTTAGTTTTTATTTTACAGTCCTGTGTAAAATAAAAGTATTTGTTTCAAGGAAATGAAAGTATATACACCAATGTAGTGTGATGTACTGTACATGTAGTACTTAATTGCCTGTATAAATGATCTCAGAAAAATTACTTTACTTTCGATTTGATAAATGAATTTATGATGTAATATAATCATTTTCAATTTTCAATATTCATTTTTCAATATTCAATATGAATTTGATAAATGAATTTATCAAACCGAAAGTAAAATAGATTTTTTGAGTTGACATAAATTTACAGTACTGATATTGCTTGTTTATCATATTATATTAGTATATAACCCAATTATTGTATTCTGTAGAAATAAATGTTTAAAAGTTTTTTTAATATTTGTATATATAGATTTGTACAAAAATGTTTTATTATTATAAAGTTTTTTTTATGTTAAACTATTTGGAAACATTAAAATATGCTTAAAATAAATGCAATTTTTGGAGTCATCTAAACCAAATAGAAAGGAAGTGAAACTACATAGTTTAGTATGATTATTATTCTAATCCCAACAGTTAAAGAACTGGTATGACTTTTTTTTGTTGTGTATTGTCTGGGCATTGCCCTCTTCCGGATTTCAACGTGTGATGAAATAGATCTAATCAATTAATAAAATTAAAATATAAATTTCTTATTTATTATAATGAAATTTAAATTAGGAATTTAATCAGTCATAGAATAAAAATGAATTATTGTTAATAAATAGAAGTTTTTGCCCATTCTATAGAGTCCCTTAACAGATACTTTTTAATCACACAATGTTAATAATTATAATTGACATCATAGCAAAATTTTTCTAGGAGCATATATAAAAATATTTTTATTGACAAATTTTTTCACCCAGATAATTGTCCATCCAGGATCAAAATGCATCTATTTTGGATTTCAAATTTTCCCAGTGGATATATGCTTTATATACTAGAGATTATATTTTGGGTATGTCTTATTAACAATAATTCATTTTTTTATTCTATGACTGATTAAATTCCTAATTTAAATTTCATTATAATAAATAAGAAATTTATATTTTAATTTTATTAATTGATTAGATCTATTTCATCACACGTTGAAATCCGGAAGAGGGCAATGCCCAGACAATACACAACAAAAAAAAGTCATACCAGTTCTTTAACTGTTGGGATTAGAATAATAATCATACTAAACTATGTAGTTTCACTTCCTTTCTATTTGGTTTAGATGACTCCAAAAATTGCATTTATTTTAAGCATATTTTAATCTTTCCAAATAGTTTAACATAAAAAAAACTTTATAATAATAAAACATTTTTGTACAAATCTATATATACAAATATTAANTACTAAATTATACAAAAACATATTTATTCACATTTGTTAAGTTAATCTTAATTTTATAAATATTTTTATCGTGGTTTTACATAAGTTACATATTAATGTAATGGAGGTGACATCAGTGGATTTTTTAAAGTTTTTATTTTGGAAATAGCATCACTATAGCTCATCCAGAAGGGATAATTTTTAACATATAATTTATTTCAAATACAACTTGTTACAATTATAAAATATTTATATACCTTATATAACAGCAATTTTACTATTAAAATACTGATGAATTTTTTTTGGATGGTTCCAACATTCATCTTCAGGTCGTTTCTGAACAAATCCTACAATATTCAAACACTAACTGACTAAATGTTCCAATCTTTGAAATTTATAACTATATATCAAAATTTTACAAAAGTTCAAACATCATTTTGTGTAGAAAAATCCATTACCTTTCTAAAATTTAAACTTTCATATTGTGTACATTCTAAAGAGTCTATATCATAATTTATGCTTCCCACTTATGCCACTTCATAGATTTCCATTGGAAAGTTTCCCCAACATCTCTAGTTGATGCCTTTTCTCTTTTTGACCAAGTCGTAAATCTCCCCACGTTTTATAAGTTTTGCTTTCTCCCAGTAAATTTTCAGTGCAGTGGTTTTCACCAGAGTAATACAGCACATGGGTGCCTCAATGACACTACAGGGGTGAAATATAATGATGAGTAGCATCATAATACTTCATTTGTGTATTACTAAAGGTACAAAAAGCATATAGCAACTCTTCATTGATGAAGAAAGTACTGCAAGAAAAAATTAATGTCACTATTAGAAAAAGATTGAAAAACACTGATTTAAAGCATGATATATCTGATGTATATGTTATTCCTTTACAATATCTGCTAATATCTTTTCTAGAACTGTTCTCTATTTAATGTTTTATATATCTTTTGAAAGCTAACATTGTTCTCATTATATTATATGGTTAATTTTCCAATTTTAAGCAATGTTTTAAAATTTATCCACAGTAATGTGGATTTTATTTCAGGAAATGAAACTAATATATTTTTAAACTATTGTATAATTGATTATATATTTTAAGACTATATAAATACAGTATGACATATAAGTAACATATGTTTTAAGACTACTGTGTGTAGTCTTAAAACAAAATTTATGAAAATTAAAGAATCATTCAATATTGTCCCAAATTCTAACATATTTTATTGTAAAAATATTATTAATCTGTTTGTCCAATAGGAACAATATTGTAACAGTATAAGTTTATTGAAAAATACATTTAATCAGCATTACGTTACTAAAAACTATTACCTATTTATAATATAACAAAAATTTCAAAATAAAAAATATAAATTGTCATCAGATACATCAAATAAATCTTGTCAAAATGACAGTTTTGAAACTGTAACATGATATTAAATGCAATTATTGACTTTCAGTTAAAAATTAAAACAAAAAAAAAAGAAACAAACATTTTTATATTGGATTGTCAACAGATGATTTCTTAAATATAAAATTGATACTTTAATTTATGATAGTAAAAGTTTAATTTTTCGAATAAACTTTCCAGCTATCTATCAATCAATTCTAATTAAATAGCAAACATGTTTAGCCATATTTGTTATTCATCTTTAGGTTTGAAGTAAAAGGCAAAAAACAAAAATAGAACAATTGTTTAAATTTACAAAACTTGTCAATCATCTACATTTAGATTAAAAGATTAATAAATTGTCTAAACATCCAATTTATCTTCTGCAGTTTTAACTTTTAAATTTATAAACATTCAATACATAATCCGATTTTTCAGTTAAAGCCAATCAAACTACGGGATTACCGCCTACTCTAGTCAAATTATTTTATAATTAATTATTGAAATTATCCTTAATATAGCCTGATAATCTGGTAGTTTGTTCGGTTTTAACTTTTAATAAATTATTAGTTTGATTGTCTTATTGGATCTTATGTTATTTTTCTATTGAATGTATAATGTATACTGTAGTAACTAAGATGTGTAAAAAATGGAATAATTTCAAATTTAATATAATAATTGTAAAAATAGTTTGATGATATTCTAAGTAACTTACTCTCTGATATTGTTAGTTTAATCTAACAATCATATTCCTTGATTTATGCAGATGTTGAGCAATTAACATTTGTTTCACTTTAAAATTTAAGTGTTTACATATTTAACATGCAAATACTTAATTTATAATTTTGAGTATTGTGTATTATGAATATGGATTTTCGACTTAATTTTTTTTAAGACCTATCTTTTAAAGTATAAAGAATTTAAACGCTTGAGGTCTTGCATTTATATATTTGGAAAAAATCACATGACAATTTTATAAAGTGTTCTTTTTATTAAACTTAAAATTATCTAAAATGATAATTTAAATTGATTATAGTCTGTAGAAATTTTAAAATAACTTGACTTTTATCCTATATACTTAATTTTATCACATTTTACATTATCACGTAATAAAATTAAAAGATTAATCAAATTTAAGTGTATGACTATAATCTTTTTAAACTTTTTTATGTATTTCCGTCTTATTTTTTGACAAGATTTAATATAGCTTTTTCATAAGAAAATATTATTTAGTTATTAATTACAAAAGACAAATTTATGTTTATAAATTTTTGTATTCAGAAATGATATTAACCTATAAATCAGTATAAAAATCTAAAATTAATATACATTTTTGTCTATTTTTTTACCACAAATAAATTAAAAATAAGTATTAAAACCTAATATATACGTCAGTTCAGAATATTTTTTTAAATTAGTCATTGATTTATTATTATTTTTTTAAGTAGAAATTTTGAAAAATGTTTCTATTACAGGTTTCATATGGTACAGATTTAAAAAATATTTATCTATTACTATTTTGCAACAATAATATAAAACAGTGTTTTAAAATCTTCCCCTCTTCATGACTCACTAATGGTCATACTGTAGTTTACTTACAGGTGACATGTGCTACTGGTGACTCACAATTGATTGTATGTTGATTTGCTGAAAAATATTGTAGCATATTTCTTTTTATTATTGATTTTATTAATCGAATGAAACTTTTCTAAGGATTTTAAAATAGATTTAACATGAATTATTTATTGGTATGATTTATCTAACACAAATAGATGAATTTTATTATTATTATTTTGTAAATAACGTATTGACTTTCAAGTTAACATAAGTAAAACTGTAGAAATGGCTGAAAATATTTCTGTTGTTTAACATCAAAGACAAAATAAAGCCATTCTGACTGCAAACTGATAGCTTTTACTATAATAACTTAAAAAATTTAAATAGATGAATTGTCAGCAAGTGTCTCATTAGAATTTATTATATAAAAGTACTTCGAAACAATACCCATCATATAATGTTTAAAATATGTTCTTGGGAACTTGATAATACGAGAAAATGATTTATTTGGAATAAATTTCAAATAATCTCATTTAATAGTTTTATCTCAGATAATTATTATAATATTTTAAGTGATATATATTTTTATTTTTGTTTATAAATTTAATTATTTGCAGAAACGAGGCTTAATTTTGGGTGCCTTTGAGAAAGGAGAGAAGGAAGAAGGATTTCTGCTGACGCCAACTGCTCAGAAATACGATGCCGAAGTTCAAGGACGTTTAACTGAACTTTTGAAAATGTAAATAATTTATGATTGTCAAGAAAGGTTGCAGGTGGAACTTGGCAAACTGAAACTGATTATTATAATACATGTGCACATGCGTATTTAAAAATTGATACAAACGTTGCCAACCAAGAAAAATTTTTAAATATTTAATATTTTCAAACTTTCAGATTTTTATTTTATTTTTATAGGTATAGTTTTAGTTAATAAAATAATAATAAAGAGATAAACCTTCAATATACTAAATTAAAGTAACTTTTTTTTTTATTTTCTTTCCGCTTTCAGGGAACTAAAAGGGCTTTTAAACAATCCCGTAATGAATTCGGGTATTTTCTGGTCTGGCGGGGAGAGATAAAACTTGACAAATTCGACTACTCAGTACTATGAGAAATCCTTGAAAATTCGATCCAGTTGTATTACGGCGGTACTTTAGCCGTTTAACTATCCGAAGTCAGATCACAGGCGTCGAGATGGGGAAAGATGGGGACTTTTCCCCGGGTCCAGAAAAAACTTAGGGATTCTAGTTCCTATCCGTATAAATTAATGCTACTTTTACGAAAATTACGAATTACGAAAAATAAAATCTTTAAAACTACTTTCTATTGATAAAGAAGCATTCTTCATATTTCAGCTATTTAAAAAGTATAGCAAAAGGGAACCGGCTCTACCCCGGGCCCCATAAAAAACTCTCCACGGCCCTGCACTTATTTTGGAGATCCGATGAGAATAAATTATTTTCTCATCCAGTTAACAAATTCAAACTTTACTTCTCGAAAATGAAAGATTACAATATTTCATTTCCGAGAAATGTAGATAATTTTTATTCCACTCATTTTCATGAGATAAAATATATCTTTGTCTAACGGAAATTCCTTGTTGACCGGACGTTAACGACAAGCTTAGAAATTTAAAGAAAGAATAATTAAGAAAGTTATACACGATAATATTAGAAATTTAATAGTAATTTCAGATTTTCACATTGCACATTATAAGTTATACCAGCGGCCGAAATTACACCTATTATGAGTACGTCTGATCAATAATGGAATCGACTATAACNTTACTAAAAACTATTACCTATTTATGATATAACAAAAGTTTCAAAATAAAAAATATAAATTGTCATCAGATACATCAAATAAATCTTGTCAAAATGACAGTTTTGAAACTGTAACATGATATTAAATGCAATTATTGACTTTCAGTTAAAAATTAAAACAAAAAAAAAAGAAACAAACATTTTTATATTGGATTGTCAACAGATGATTTCTTAAATATAAAATTGATACTTTAATTTATGATAGTAAAAGTTTAATTTTTCGAATAAACTTTCCAGCTATCTATCAATCAATTCTAATTAAATAGCAAACATGTTTAGCCATATTTGTTATTCATCTTTAGGTTTGAAGTAAAAGGCAAAAAACAAAAATAGAACAATTGTTTAAATTTACAAAACTTGTCAATCATCTACATTTAGATTAAAAGATTAATAAATTGTCTAAACATCCAATTTATCTTCTGCAGTTTTAACTTTTAAATTTATAAACATTCAATACATAATCCGATTTTTCAGTTAAAGCCAATCAAACTACGGGATTACCTCCTACTCTAGTCAAATTATTTTATAATTAATTATTGAAATTATCCTTAATATAGCCTGATAATCTGGTAGTTTGTTCGGTTTTAACTTTTAATAAATTATTAGTTTGATTGTCTTATTGGATCTTATGTTATTTTTCTATTGAATGTATAATGTATACTGTAGTAACTAAGGTGTGTAAAGATAAAAAAAATGGGATAATTTTAAATTTAATATAATAATTGTAAAAATAGTTTGATGATATTCTAAGTAAATTACTCTCTGATATTGTTAGTTTAATCTAACAATCATATTCCTTGATTTATGCAGATGTTGAGCAATTAACATTTGTTTCACTTTAAAATTTAAGTCTTTACATATTTAACATGCAAATACTTAATTTATAATTTTGAGTATTGTGTATTATGAATATGGATTTTCGACTTAATTTTTTTTAAGACCTATCTTTTAAAGTATAAAGAATTTAAACGCTTGAGGTCTTGCATTTATATATTTGGAAAAAATCACATGACAATTTTATAAAGTGTTCTTTTTATTAAACTTAAAATTATCTAAAATGATAATTTAAATTGATTATAGTCTGTAGAAATTTTAAAATAACTTGACTTTTATCCTATATACTTAATTTTATCACATTTTACATTATCACGTAATAAAATTAAAAGATTAATCAAATTTAAGTGTATGACTATAATCTTTTTAAACTTTTTTATGTATTTCCGTCTTATTTTTTGACAAGATTTAATATAGCTTTTTCATAAGAAAATATTATTTAGTTATTAATTACAAAAGACAAATTTATGTTTATAAATTTTTGTATTCAGAAATGATATTAACCTATAAATCAGTATAAAAATCTAAAATTAATATACATTTTTGTCTATTTTTTTACCACAAATAAATTAAAAATAAGTATTAAAACCTAATATATACGTCAGTTCAGAATATTTTTTTAAATTAGTCATTGATTTATTATTATTTTTTTAAGTAGAAATTTTGAAAAATGTTTCTATTACAGGTTTCATATGGTACAGATTTAAAAAATATTTATCTATTACTATTTTGCAACAATAATATAAAACTGTGTTTTAAAATCTTCCCCTCTTCATGACTCACTAATGGTCATACTGTAGTTTACTTACAGGTGACATGTGCTACTGGTGACTCACAATTGATTGTATGTTGATTTGCTGAAAAATATTGTAGCATATTTCTTTTTATTATTGATTTTATTAATCGAATGAAACTTTTCTAAGGATTTTAAAATAGATTTAACATGAATTATTTATTGGTATGATTTATCTAACACAAATAGATGAATTTTATTATTATTATTTTGTAAATAACGTATTGACTTTCAAGTTAACATAAGTAAAACTGTAGAAATGGCTGAAAATATTTCTGTTGTTTAACATCAAAGACAAAATAAAGCCATTCTGACTGCAAACTGATAGCTTTTACTATAATAACTTAAAAAATTTAAATAGATGAATTGTCAGCAAGTGTCTCAACTATAAAATTAAACAAAATTAGAATTTATTATATAAAAGTACTTCAAAACAATACTCATCATATAATGTTTAAAATATGTTCTTGGGAACTTGATAATACGAGAAAATGATTTATTTGGAATAAATTTCAAATAATCTCATTTAATAGTTTTATCTCAGATAATTATTATAATATTTTAAGTGATATATATTTTTATTTTTGTTTATAAATTTAATTATTTGCAGAAACGAGGCTTAATTTTGGGTGCCTTTGAGAAAGGAGAGAAGGAAGAAGGATTTCTGCTGACGCCAACTGCTCAGAAATACGATGCCGAAGTTCAAGGACGTTTAACTGAACTTTTGAAAATGTAAATAATTTATGATTAAGGAAAATTTTATAAATTTCTATTACATTTATCTCTTAAAAATTGTAAATCTGAGATTTATTTGTCTACTTCAAAATTAATATGTTGATAAAGTTAAAATTTTCTTATAATTTTCTTATAAATGTTTAGGCTAATATTTTTATTTTTCTGAAGTTATATGAATTTTAGTATAAAAAGTAATTTTTAATTAAATTATTAAAATATAAATGCGTATAGATTACANTACTTCAAAATTAATATGTTGATAAAGTTAAAATTTTCTTATAATTTTCTTATAAATGTTTAAGCTAATATTTTTATTTTTCTGAAGTTATATGAATTTTAGTATAAAAAGTAATTTTTAATTAAATTATTAAAATATAAATGCGTATAGAATACAGTTTGGCACACAACATTTATGATTGAAAATGTTCAAAAACTACTATTTAAAAAAGTTTAAAATGTTGTTGTTTTTAATTGATGATAACTTCTGTCTTTTTAAATTTCTTTGAACATTTTTAATTGTGTATGCATATATTTTATAAAAATAAGTACAGTAGAGTCCCATCTAATCAAAGTCGAATGGGACTCTACTATAGTATTCCCTGTACTCTACTGAAGTATTATATGAGATAAAATGTACAGTACTTTATCAACTAAAACATTACTACATTTCCATGTCTGAAAATGTACTATAGTTTATTTCACAAATCTTGATCAGGTGATAAGCAGTACTTGAAAAGAGGCTCTAGAATTCTTAAAGAAGAATTTACTCTAATGATTTCTCAGAAAAATATGACTTTTAAAAAAGATTAAAGAAATTTTAATTGTAATCATATGTTTACATTTGCATTAATAATTATAGTTGTAAATTAAAACTAAATTTTATTTACAAGTCGTAATGTTCAATAAGTAACTCTAACATAAAAACAGTACATCATTTTATTACAATGCTGTTGATGAAATTTGTAAACATTTACAATTATGGATGTTGAATTTTCTTTATAAACAGTAAAATTGATTTTACGAGGTGGGAAATTAATGCTAGAGGTTGCAAACGTGAACCAATAATAATAATAATAACCAAATTATATCTTATTTATATTATTCAGTCTGTGGTAAAATTGATTTCATTATATGTTGTTTTGGTTAATGTCAGTGTTGTCATGAGTAGACAGCGGACATATAGGCTCTTAAAAGTGGCATTTTAGACGCTTAAAATAAGCTCTTAAATTGTATCTTTAGGGTTTATAAACAAAAAATAGGCAGTCAAAATTTGCATAATGAACAATTAACGTACTTATCATGATGATGAATTTTTTATTTAACATATGTAATTCCAAACAAAAATACACGTATTCAGAATGATGCAAACACAAAAGTAGACAAACAATTATCTTTACATTTTTTATTCTCTCTGTTTCATAATATATTACAAGCACTTTTTCCAAATTTCCGATAGAAAAGTTGCNAAGATTAAAGAAATTTTAATTGTAATCATATGTTTACATTTGCATTAATAATTATAGTTGTAAATTAAAACTAAATTTTATTTACAAG